AACACTCCGTGTTCTGGTGGGCAGGTCTCTAAGCACTCCCTATTTGTGCGGATCGGCCACGTGGGCGTCGCTTTGTCCCTAAAATCGCGTGTATTCCTGCCAGGAACGGATAATTTCTTTGCCATTGATGCGAGTCGCATCATGCGACTCTACCTTGATACACATATATAGCTCAATCATAATGCGTCGGTTATTGTAGACGTATAGGATTATGACCGTTGAGTGTGCCCATACCCTGCCTCTATAAAACTCCGCTTTGAAATCGATTCTGCTGTATAGCATGAAGCTTATTTCTCTCGCAGGACTTGCATCGTCTCCCCTCAGTTCCCAAACTCGTCTGCTTCATGTTCGGACGCATCCTTATTCTGGTTATCGCTCTCTGTGTCCTGGTGGCTAATGCTGTCGAAGATATCCAATGTTGGGGTGCCAACTGCCCTGATCAGTGCACGGGGTTCTGCTACTGTATGTGCTGTGGGGAGTATGGGTCGTGTCCTGAGCACGTGTTCTGTACGATTCTTTGCAGAGATTGTGAGACGTATTGTAAGTGCTGCTAATGAGTAGAACGTAACCAATGCTTCATGAGTGGACGAGAAGACCACCATAAGCAGCAGCGGTACTTCTTTTCTTGATGATCAAGACTTGATGCTTACAATCAAGCGTTGTCACTGGAGTGAGAGTATTTGGTTATCTTGTTTTCTCAGTAAGATAATCTTACCATTATTGAAGTAGCACTAGGTGACGCAAGAGTTAAGTTTTTCAAATAAGGATATTAACCCCAAAGCACCTTGTGTATGAGTATTATTGGGATGGAATCAACCAAGTTGGTTGAACCAACCAAGCACAGCTTTCGAAAGCCTAGCCAACCCATAGCCACTTCCTTTGACGCTGAGCCAAACTGAGTGCACCAGTTCGGGCTCAGCATTGTGACTTGATATTTCAAGTGCGGGCAGTTGAGAGTGGTGGTTCCCCTTGCCCCCTTCGTTGACATCACGATTTAAGTCATTCGGATAGATTGCGGGCCTTCTCCTCAGACTCGACAGGGCTTCGAATTTTCTCCGGATATCAACACACAGGATTATCTGCGACTCTGTTGGAGGGAATCTCATATCGAAAGAGACTTTCTGTGTATTCCCCAGATTTGCTGTCCGTCCCACTGTGGCGTGCCTTTCCATTATGCAAATGCGTAAAAAATTACTCCAAAAGGTAGAAGCAATTTTACGGTAGGAGTCCTACCGTATTTGTTTCTCTATACACCAGTGATGTCGTACTGTGTCAAGCCATTTTGCCACGTGCCTCAATAAATCGATCGAGAGTTCGATATTGCTGACCGAACTCTCGGTGTATATTCGTTATATTTATACATTCATCGTGTTGAAAAATCATATGACTATTCCCCAAATTCGCTGAGATGATAATATTTTGCGCATTTGCATAAAAAAGGCACTCACAATACATCCCAGTACGACGTGCAGACAGATGCATAGGAAATACAGGTTTAAAAAGAAAAATCCACCTAGCTCAGAGGATTCGCGAAGGGGATCGACAGAATATAGTCATTTCCTACTGTTAATTACCAAACATGAATATCCTCTCAACAAGATAGAACAACAAAACACGTCGTTAGGAAGCTAGACAGCTACGCTCCAGTGAAAGAATCATCGCGTGGTTTCATGATAATATGCGGATGTACTTGATCAAAACTAAGTCTCGGAGGCACCACTGAGCCAT